CCAGGTGGCTCAGTTGGTTGGAGTGTCATCTCTGTACATCAAAAGTTTGCGGGTTTCATTGCCGGTCAGGACACATACCTAGGTTTAGGGTTGGATCCTAGGTGGAGGCACATGTGGGAGGCAACTGATCCATGTTTCTTTCTCTCTCTCCCCTCCTCTCTTAAAAACAACAACAACAACAAACCAATCAATAAACATATCCTCGGGTGAGGATTTAAGAAAAAGACTAAAAAGTTATGGCCTGGTCTCTGGTATGCAGTAGGAAATAAGGAAAGATGAGAGCACATTTTGGGATTAAAAGGTAGAAGAGGGGAAACAGAATTCTATTCCCCAAGTCCAAAGTGGTGGTCTCCTTGTTTCCCATTTGAAAACCATGGTGCCCAGAGAGCAGTAACCTCATGAGGCAGGAGGCTGCAGAAAGGAAGTAACATGGTAGCTTGCTGAGGCTCCAGACACAGTGAACTTTCTAGAAAACAAGGTAATAGGAGGCCTACTTTTAGCCAATATATTGCAATCATGTTGTTTATTAAAGCAGCACCCCCTCTGAGATGAAGCCACACCCCACCAGCATCAGTGCTTGGTGAGTAGAAAGTTTTTGTGGGAATTAGGAAAAAAACAGAACAGGCCAATTGTGCCCTGCATCAGGAATTGGTGAGCAGAGAGCTTGATCTGGATTTCAGACCCAAGTCTTGTGCCATACATGCTGCCCTTGTGCAGAATAGAAGTAGCACAAATTCTGTAATGGTCCGTGTGGTGTGAACTTAACAATAAAAGGGGCCATGGATTTTAGAAATAGTCTGGTGGAAGGGGCTCATTTGTGCCAGCTGTGTCTTGATTATACATATTTATACTTCAAAATGAAAAAAGGCTAGAATACACACACATATATAGAATGTCCTAAAAATATATACATATTTTAACAGCTGATAACTCAATTTTGATAATGAAATATATTTTTAAAGACTGCTTTTATACTTATTCAAAGTATGTATATACATTTTTTGGGCCACCCTAAATATTTTAATTTTCAAACTTGGTTATTCTGCATAGGGGGAATCATGTATTATTTATATTTTTATTTTGGTGGAAATTTTCTTTGAGATGAATTTATTTTATAACCAGGAAAAAAATCGAATGTTATTTTAAAGATAAATTGCAGAACGAGGAGTTATTGTCTCATCTGGAACCTAAGCTTATGTCCACCACTGGGGCTCAAAGTTTTCTGGTCATCTTTAGCATACTGATGGGGCTAAAAGTCTTTTTGCATTTGGAACTAGGAGATCTCCAAGGGAAAAAAATCACACTAAGTGAAGAGCAAGTCTGCAATTATGTTTAGCTCAGAAACAAAACTTAGGTTTTAGAAGGGGAGGAGTCTGACTGGGTTGTGGATTTATCTTCTTTTTAAAAAAAATATATTTTTATTGATTTCAGAGAGAGGAAGGGAGAGGGAGAGAAAGAAACATCAATGATGAGAGAGAATCATTGATTGGCTGCCTCCTGCATGCCCCTACAATGGATCAAGCCCCCAACCCTGGCATGTGCACTGATCAGAATTGAACACTGACCTCTTGGTTCATGGATTGATGCTCAACCACTGAGCCACACCGACCAAGCCTGTGGATTTATCTTCTGAGCATCCTTTCCCACTTACATCTCAGGGATAGAGGGGAGCCTGCAAGTAAACACTGAAGACTGAAAAAAAATTTTTTTTCGTTTTTTTATTATGGAAATTTTCAGACATCTACAAAAGTAGAGAGAATAGCATAATGAACTCTGAAATATCCATCACACATCTTCAACAATTATCAACTTATTGCCAATTCTGTTTCATCTATACACTCATTTATCCCACCCTCAGATTATTTTGAATCAAATACCAGTAGTGTCTCGTTTTATCTGTAAAATTTACAGTACACTTCTCTAAAAGATAAGGATAAAAAAAAGAAACAACTGCAGTACCATTTACACCTACAACCCCCCCTAATAATTTGGGGAGATGTGTGTAATTTTAAATTCTGCAAGAACTGGGGGAACAATCAATGTATTTCACTGGTACCATGAAGAAGGGTGTAACACTAAAATCTTTTTCCCGTGTAAATGCAAAAAAAAACCCCACAAAAAAACAAAAAAAAAACACTCTGGGGCCATTGCAGGAAGCTGGGGAAGAGTGCTGACATCATAAACCCCATGGCAAAACTCCATAAAATTCCCTCTAGACATTTTTGTCAATTTCTTAAAGTTGCTTTCCTAGAAGCAGCTGACCCAAGCACTCTCCTTCAAAATCCTTTATTTTCTGTTCCCCACTCACAGAAGTTCCCCACCACCACCACCACCCCTAATGGCTTTTCCAAGTGATAAAAATTTAGCTGTCTCTGTCCTCTGCATTCTCATATGCAAAAAACAGGTGGAATGAAGGGCTAGCAGTGTGTACTGGAAAAGGGGATAAAAATGATGGCAAACCGAATCAGTAAGAGATGCAAAATAAACCTAGACAAACTAAGAGGCCTAACTAACTTGGAAACTGCCTATACTGCAGTCTTTGTTGGCTCTGGCATCAAATAATACCGTAAAATGAAATTTTAAAATGAGAAAAACTCTTTTCTTCAAAGAGATGTTACGATTACATGAAAGAAGTGGTTAGGACATTGCAAAAACATCGAATTTAGTACTTGTATATCATTGTAAAATGTATTTTTATAAAAGCTCACAATATTAGCTTATGTTAATTGCATTTACTTTTATAGTTAGTTTTCGAGCAAGTGATTTTTTGAATAAACTTTTAAGCAAATTAGCAACAGTACAAAAACACTGAAGTTGTTACACAAAATACTGAGTCTACAAATTATTGTCCTAAGTGATGGGGTAACCTTAAAACTGTGCTAGCCACTGTGTGCTATGACATAGAAATATGAGTAATAACTCTTGTCCTTCAACGTCTTACAACTGCCTGGAAGTTTCCAAAACACCTGATACAGAAAAGCCACGCACATGGTGCCTAGCCAGCATATACACTTCTATGAGCACCACAATGGAAGGGGAATGTTTTGCCACATAGTGATGACAAAATATAAATTATATCAAAGAACCTTCAGTGTTGTCAACCATATTTCAAGTAGTGTCTCAGATGCAAACTATGCAAAGAGTAAGGAAATGTCCTTGCTCTCAAGGATATCATAGTCTAATCGAGAAGGCAGAAACATCATAAAAGCACAACAAAAGGCTATTGGTGCTGAATTAAGAGCATGTTCACATACACAGTACAATAACCAAGGCAAGAGGAGTCAGTAGAATAGCCAGGGGAGGGCTGTCCCAAGATGTAGCAGGAAACCCAGATGCGCTGTCTCCTTGGAAACATGAAAATGGTTATCTGCGCTTGACAATGCCATAGATCGATGCTTCACATTGACGATTCTTTGAAAGCAATCCTGAAGATCGTGCTGTTCATCTGGAAAAATAAAACAACATATGATTAACAGGCTTATACTAATTTAACAATTCCTCCAAAGGACAAATTTACAAGGGACCTATTACCTGCATCACTCACTTCACATTTGGAAAGTACTCAAAGAGTTATCAATGTAGATGCAATGTGGGTCTGAATAAGCAACTATGGGAATTACAGATCAGTATGTATTACTGAAACAAAAAAGTCAAGAAAGAAGTGATATTCGTTTTGTAAAAGGGGGTGGTCATCTAAGACAAAAATTCCTAAATTCCATGTTCTAGACTCTAGGCTTATGAAAGTAATTCAGGCTGGTTCCCACCCAAAAGTTTGCTGGATAGCCCTGACCAGGTGGCTCAGCTGATTGGAGAATCATCCCATATATCAAATCAAGTTTTTCATTATCCCCAATTTTATGTTTAAAAAAAAAAACTGAGCCCTATCCGGTTTGGCTCAGTGGATAGGCCTGCAGACTGAAGAATCCTGGGTTTGATTCTGGTCAAGGGCACATACCTCGGTTGCAGGTCCCTCTGCGGCCCTGGCCCTTTTCTGGGTTGTGCAGGAGGCAACCAATTGATGTGTTTCTCTAACATAGATATTTCTCTGCCTTTCCCTCTCTCTTCCACTCTCTCTAAAAATCAATGGGAAAATATCCTCAGGTGAGAATTAAATAATAATAATAATAATAATAATAATAATAATAAATCTGAGCATCAGATAGTTAAATAACTTGACTGAAGTAACAGAGAGAGCAAGAACTGGAACCAGTTTTCAACCCTAGGACTGTCTGACTTCAAAGGCCCAATGTAGTTTCTACCACATCCGACTCTCCCTCATGAAACCATCATGTTTTACTTCTTTTCCACCACTCAGAGTACTGTTTGCCCACACACATTTACGATCGGCTAACTTCAGTATTAGCAGGTTATCAGGAGACACGCGTAGGAGAATAAAGGTAGTCCAGAAGAGACCCAGGTATCTCAGCTGGGAGTCCTGATGAGAAGCAAGCATCCAGGCGAATGTAAGAGTTTTTAGTTCAGCACCCCAAATAGAGTGCCGTGTGACACAACACGTTAGTTCTAAACCTTGAAGAGAGATTGCTCAGGTGTCCCTCCACTCTGGAAGTCTGAAACAGCTGAACATCAAGAAAGGTACCTCCCTCAGCAGGTGTCATCACCAGCTCCCGTTCCTGTGGATACCCATAGTGGGAAGTTTACCTGGACCGTGGCTAAATCCTAATATGTGCAATAGCTTTCTTTCCAAAGCTAGTTTATGTTGAGAAAACCATGGTTGTTCTGGGGGGACTGAGGCAGGGCAGTGGGGGCTGGAAGTTGACCACGCTACACGTCCTGTAGGAATCGTTTCCCCGATAAGATTCATGGACGTGCTTGGCTAACAACACCTTCCTGAGAAATACGGACTCTCTAAAGCGGTATTTTGTTAAAGGACCTTAGGGCCACATGGGGAGTGGCCATTTCAAGTAAGCGGTCAAAACTTTGCAGTTGTGAGCAATGTTTTGCAAATCAAGTTATGTCCAGATGAATAAAGACATTTCTGAAAAGGGCAAAGGAGATCACTTTATTTCTGAAGATAACGTTATTGTCGAGCACGGCAAGAGCACAAGAAGTCAAAGTTCTTAAATATCTTTTAATGCAAAACGGCTCATTGAAACCAACTCCCACCACAGCAGGTCTTGCCCACAAGGGCTAATACTGCGAACGAGAAAACAACTTCAGAACGAACAGGAACGAAAGAGGCCAGACGACCAAGGCGATCAGACTGTAAACGCGTTTGCTACAAAACCACACGACTGGTGCCCAAGGTGCACACGCGCGCTCGCACACACACACCGCCCCGGGCCGGGCGGGCAGGTAAGGCACCGTTCAGAAGAGCCCCTGTGCACTAGCCCGTGCGAACGAGGTTAACCGGCAAGAAGCGATGCTCAACGCTTCCGAAAAACCGGCGACTTGTCCACCAACAGTGCCTGGCAAGTAAGTGAGACAGTTTGCAAGCGAGGGTGAGCGTCTGCCAAGGAAACAAAAGGCGCCCCCTCCCCCGGGGAGCCCGCACGGGCGCTGGGGGTGCGCGGGCACTGGGCGCTGCGGGCGGGCGGGCGGGCGGGCGGGCGGCAAGCGGGGGTCTGCGCGGGAGCCGTACATACTAGCGGTCGCTCCCGGGCACGGAGTTTCCGTTGGTGGGGGGACCGCCCAGCTTTAGTTTCTGCAGGTACTCGGCATGCACGGGCTTGTGGCACTGCAGGACCTTGATGGCATCTTCGATTTTGAACCACTCTCGCTTCCTGCCAATGCTCACCGAGTCCTCCCAGTCCTCCAGCACCTCGGTGACGGTCAGGACGTACACGTAGGTCCGGTGCTTGGGGTCCTGGTTCTGCTCGAAGACGCCCAGGAGCCGGCCCAGCGTCCCCTTGACGCCCGCCTCCTCATACACCTCTCGCACGGCCGCGCCGCTCGGCTCCTCCTCGGGCTCCATGCCCCCGCCCGGCACGATCCAGCGGTCCGGGTAGCGGCTGCTGCTCACCAGCAGCACCTCGTCCTCGCGCTCGCTGCGGAAGCACAGGCACGCCGCCCGCTTCTTGAAGCCCTCGGGGTCGTACGTGCGCGTCTGGTTCGGCTTGCACTTCATCCTCCAGGTTGCCTGCTCCGCGCTCGTCGCCGCGCCGCTCGCTCGCTCGCTCGCTGGGGTCGCGCCGCCGCCGCCGCCGCCGCCGGCTCAGCCGCTGCGCAGAGAAAGGGCCGCTGCGCGGGGCGGGCGGGAGGGGAGCGCTGCAGCCCCGAGCCCGGAGCCTCA